AGGAGGAGGGTTGTGATAGATTTGGCGAGCCAACGTAAAACCTAGCCGTTCTATGGAGATGAAACACTTTTATATGCAGGATTAGAACTTTTCTAATATATGACCATATAATGGATTATAATTGACTGTGAATCTTGCGGCGCGCAGTTCTTTTTGAGCTAACTCGATGCCAAGAATTCAGTATTCTTATATATGTGGTATTGTGCTCACTTTAACAGAGTTGTTGTTGTTAGAGTGGGATATAACCGAAAAATTCAACTGTTGTTAGAGAGGGATATAACCGAAACATTCAACGGTGAGAGTATAACAATGGATAATTTACATTTTCTGACATTGTCTGAGTGTTAACTTTTTAACTATGTTCTTAGAATTTGATCTTTACATTGTTGGATCTGAAGTTTACTTCCTCATTCTTCTTTCTTTCTCCTTCTATGAGATGAGAACAATCAGCCGTATGATTAACATCAAAACTATATTTGTTGATAGCTTTGCCATGATAGTTGCTACTCTGTGTTTCCAGAAGATTGAATTATTTAGATCGGATATCTATACCCGAGGAGAGAACTGAGGGTTCAAATTTCCGGTTTCTTTTTATCTACCGTGTTGCTTACTGACTGTTCGACTCTACAATTGACTACTTTCAGTTTTACCAAGCCATTTCATTTTGATTTAAGAGTCATTCTGTTCAAACGCAGAGTAACTCGGCCTAGACCCATTATTTCCTTAAATCCCTATTACTATCATGTTAGGACGATTAGTAGCTTATAATATGTGAAACACTTTTTATTTATCGTAAAACGCTTGTGTCTGTAGGTTCAATGAATTTGGAGCTGATGGTGGGCCAGCAGCAAAGCATTTGAGGCCTAAATTCAGTGTCTTCGCCAAACATGTTACAGCGCAGACTGGACTCCAAGTGCCTCATGTTGATGTAAGTAGATTATTTTGCATTTCCATTATTAATATAAGATTATATGACACACATGCCATTTGTGTCACTCTCAATAATGTGTAAAATATTACACCACAGATGAAAAATTTGATTTTGGGCGCCATTGCCGTGAAAGCTCTTGGAAGCCTCCTGTTTGTCTTTGGCAGCTCTCTTGGAGCTTCGATATTGGTACGCGTATGAAGCCCAGTCCTTTGTTTGTAATCTGATTTTGTGATTTCTATTATTGTTACTCATGGGTTCACTTTTTCCCCGATCAATACCCAGCTTCTGCATCAAGCAATCTCGGCACCCATCTTATATGATTTCTATAATTACGATGCTGACAAGAAAGAGTTTGCTCAGCTTTTTGTTAAATTCACACAGGTGCTTATTCAATCCAAAATATATGTTCCTGATTTTTCTATTTTTTTCTTTTCTTTTTAAAGTTAAGAGATATTCAAAGCAAGTTTAATGTGTTTGGTAATGTAGGTGTGTTCGGGAAATAAAAAACATAAATGTGATTCTGAACTTTTTGGTGTAAAAATGGGAAATAATGACTGAAAATCAGATACCCCTATTCATGCTCTTATTTATGTATTTTTGTATTTGACTCCCTATATTTATCTGAGTTGACGGTACTTATTTTGATCTTTTGACCAGAATTTGGCATTGCTCGGGGGCCTGCTGTTCTTCATCGGCATGAAGAACTCAATGCCCAGGAGGTCGCCTAAGAAGAAGTCTGGTAAAGCCAAAACACATTAAACAAAGAGGGTGTTCGATAATGAGTTATGGATGGTTTCTTACAGTTTTACCCGATAACTATTTTGTAGTATGTTATACCTAGCTGCGGTTCTGCAAGATTTTTCTTAATCGCTCTATCATGACTTCATTTTCCGACTATGTTCGATGGTTGTCAAAACTCCAGCTACAACTTGGATATTTATTTAAGAAAAATTGAGAATCGCATTGTTTGTTTTGTGCTTTGTTCTTGGCTCCTTTTGTAATCATGCAAATGCCATCTCCAGTTTGATTGTGATGTGCTAGTTTGATCTTAGTGATTCTATTCCTGGAAATTTAGGTGGTCTTGATTGCAAGATCGATGGGTAGTCATTTTGAATTTTTGTATTCTCGAATTATTTTTTTAGCGATCGCGTGCCCATTCCATTATTTTGTACTTGGCTATGATATCTTCAGTTAAAACGGGAAAAGAGCTGGTGCATCATTTTGTTAACGTTACTGTGGTGTGGATGCTATACTAAAGAGTTATTTATAACACCTGTGATCCCTGCCACCACATTTGATTTGAATATGTTAAAAAGACATGAGACTGTATATTATATCGTCAGACATGGCCATTTGGCACCCGGCCCGACGGCCTAAAAACTGTTAGTTGTAACCGGCCCGAATGTAGGTACGGGCCGGCTCACAGGTCCGGTGCCCGTCTCTAGGCCCGGAACTGGCATGTTCAAAATAAATTAAGGCTCGGAACTGCCCGTTTGTAGCACAGGTCCAGTTCAATAACTCGTGCATATGTCCCGATTTCGGGCCGACCCTGGCCATGTGTATATATCTTTCACATTTATTTCAGATGAGAACTAATATGAGATTTTATACCATGTCGACTTGACTCGAGAAACAACCTGACTGAACCGGGTGAACCGATAGGTCGAACAAAGACTGAAGGCGCTACAAGTAGAAGAGTCTTTAGGTCGATAAGGATGTTGTTGAGTCGAAGGAGCACTGGCAGGTCTAGTTAGGGCTCTCAGATGACCTGGTTGAAGTTCAACATGATGGCACGACTGATCGTAAGATCAACTAGATGAGTAGGGTGTATGAGCTCAGCAATGGCAGCACTAACTCGAGGTAATCTGGGTCGGTCGCATGATTAGATTGTCTAATAGAGCATACTACTCTAGTGACTTGACGAGGCATGTGCACAACGGTGAACGTGGGTTAGAGGGCACGACTCACAACCGTTCGTGCAACCCCGTAGTTTGTGTAATCATCTCAGAGTTGGCTAAAATTTTAAAACATAAATTCTCAATACTAACTATAGATTCCATTGCGTTAGTATTTGATTCGATAGGATTCTTGATGTGCACTTAGGCGGACGTTCTTCATAGAACCCAACATGTATTCTCCACTTGTAAAAATTGTAGTATCTTTTTTGGTTGTGTTTGTGTTGTCGCCTCTAGGCTACATTCGACTAGACCGTCATCTATATTCAACTTAGTAGCTATTTGATATGGCTATTTCTGGCTATTTTCTAATTTATAAATACGTGTTATTATCAATATAATTATATTGTTAATAAAAACCTCAATATCCAATGAAATTGATTTTGATTTATATCCAATCGCCCTTTAAGCTATCACGACCTGCCTTACTGTATTTGAGACCAAACCAAATATCATCTCAAGTTTTTTTTTTTTTTTT